CGCCCGTAACAAGTCCCGAACGCTGTCTTCTGGATATCTTCATCCCGAACCCTCATCTGGTGATATCCCGACCTCAAGTCTATCTTGGAGAACCAAGACGCTCCCTGCAACTAATCGAACAGATCGTCGGTCCTCGGTAACGGATAACGGTTCCTAACCGTCAACTTATTCAACTCTCGGTAATCAATACACATCCGGTGTGAACCATCCTTCTTCTTGACAAAAAGGATCGGCGCTCCCCAAGGTGAGCTACTCGGTCTGATAAACCCCTTCCCCAACAACTCCTGAAGCTGCGAGGATAACTCCTGCATCTCGGGCGGCACAAGGAGATAGGATGCCTTGGCAATAGCTCCCCCACCCCCCTGATACCAAGTCGATAAGAAACTCCACTTACCTCTCGGGAGGCACACCCGACAACTCCTCGGGGAAAACATCAGGGAACTCCCGCACAATCGGGACCTCATCAATCGAACTTGGCCTCCCAGCAGCCACTCGTGTGTCCATCACATAGGCCACAAATCCCCTACAGCCCTGCTGTAAACTCTACCTCGCCCTAGCAGCCGAACAAAATGCTGACTCAGGACGGGTACCCTCACCGTACACCGTAAGTATTCCCCCACTAGGGTCTCGAATTGTCACCAGCTGACGCTCGTAGTCTATAATAGCTCCAAATTGGCTCAACTAATCCATGCCCACTATGACACATACGTCCCCATCGCAATCGGGACTAGATCGATCGGGAACCCCACATCGAAGATCTCAAGTCTACATCCTCGAATCACCTCCGTGGCATACACCGCTCGCTCGTTAGCTATAGAAACTCGCAAAGGTCGACTCAAAGCTTATCAAAAATACTGATATAACGACTAAAAGCTAACGACACAAAAGATCGACTCGCTCCCAAGTCAAATAGTACTAAGGCAGGTACAGAATTCACAAGAAAGGTACCTACGCATAACATAATATAAGCATAATATCTCAGACTCAAATAAATAGAGAGAAGAATACATACCTGCCACAACGTCGGGTGCTGTGTGGACCTCCTCCGCTGTCAACTGGAAGGCTCTCCCGCGAGCCTTCGGCGCCTCGACCGTTGCTGGCCGAACCTCGGTAGCCCTAGCAGCAGGCCTAGGTCCCTGCGCTGATCCCTGATGTAGCTGAGGGCACTCGACCTTCCGATGGACAGTCTGGTTGCAATGGAAGCAAAGAGAAATCCCTTGGGGCAATCCCTTGGGGCAATCCCTCGCGATATGCCCCTCCTTCCCGCACTTGTAGCATACTCCCGCTCTGCACGAACCTTCATGACTCTTGTCGCACTTCCCACAAGTGAGGCCCTTCGCACACCCAGATCTCAAATCAGCGGGCCTGGCCTGCTTGGATGTCGGCTGAGACTGTGCCGGTCATCGATCCTTCCCCTGAGACTCCATCTCCTCCCTGGCCTGAGTCTCCAGCTCTATCTCCCTCTTCAGGGCATTTTCCTGGAGCTCGGAAAATGTCCGGTAGGTCGAGTTCACCACGAACTCCCAAATATCTCTCCTTAGAACACTCAGATACCGACTCATGTGAGCCTGCTCAGTAGACACCTGCTCAGGGCAAAACATCGCCCTCTCATGAAACTTCCGCGTAATCACATTAACTGAATCACTACCCTGCTTGAGGGTCAAAAACTCTTGAGCCAGTCGTTCCCTTTCCACAAGAGGAACGTACTCATCATGAAACATGGTGGTGAACTTTTCCCAGGTCACCTTAGAAATCTCTGCCAGAGTGAAGCTCGTCGTCACGAACATCCACCAATCCTTCGCTCCCAAGCGGAGCTGGTTCAGAGCGAACCATACTCTCAAGTGCTCCGGACAAGAACACATGTAGAAACATCCCTCAATGTCAGAGATCGACCTCATCATAGCAATCGGGTCCTGCATCCCATCGAACTCTGGTGGCTTCGTGTTGTTGAACTCCCAAATCAACAACAAGTCACCTCCCTGAGGTCTAGCAGCAGCAGCAATAGCAGTAGTTGCAACAGCCGCAGCTTGAGTCACTACTACATATCGCTCGTCAAAGGTCTCAATCAATGTGGTCTTGATGTTCCTGAACATCTCTGGAATCTCGACCCGGATGGCAGCAGCCACCTCCTCATGAATCAATCGACGGATCTCCTCATCGCTGACACCACTACTCTCAGGTGTGTGTTGTGTCCCAACCATGATGTCTCTAAAATACAACATAAAAATATCATAAAGTGCTCAACCATTACTTTTGACTTCATAACTCATCCAAGATGTTTTTGGTGACCTTTGGTGGATTATGGTTACATCTTCATGGCTTTTAACTTCTTCTTTAAGATTCTAGCGGTTACTTTTGTGGTTCCAAATATGTCGTTATTCCATCAGATGTGGCCTTGTAACGCCCACGATTGAGCTCGTGAGGCTAAAAAGCATATGAGGAAGATTCAACTACTGATTATAACCCCAACCCACCGAGCCTAAATGGTAACGAAGCCAGTCGCCATTGAAGGTCCCCAAAGAACGGACCCCCGCAAACCACAATGTCCTCAATCGATCTACGTAACCCTTTATCAAAACACAAAGCAACCTCTTCTATGTGAACGAGTTGGCACATTCTCAGGCCAAAGAAAAGTTTGGCGATGCTCATACAAGATCAAAGCAAAATGAGTTCACTCTGTGGTCATGTAAATGTGGTAGAAGGTGCATCAAGGTTAATTTGCAGGGTCCTAATCTAGTTCATAAATGAAGATGGTTTGTGTTCCAAAAATGGAAGGTTCGTATCGAAGAACAACACCACGAAGTCCTTATTAGATTGAGGACAATTCCTTTCCAAGAAGGAGGGAATGATCCACGTATAGGAGTGAAAGATTCTAAAAATAGGGATGTGTTGACACTTATCACGTTTGATGGTAATGTGGTATAAGATGGGATCAATATGATGACGTGGAAAGGGATGTGACCAAGCATGTGAGAAGGTTAATGATATTAATGGTGAGTTAAGAATATAGACGTTACTAGTTGGAAATTTAAAGTGGGAGTTTTATTTCAGTTTTTAATAAAGCTTTGTGCCAAGAGATGTCATGGCTAAATTCACTTGCATCATAAATTGGATGAATTAAGGGTTACGTTTTAAGACTTCTTAAATTGATTAACTGCTACTCTTGTCTTCATAACCCATCCCAGGTGTTTTTGGTGACCTTTGGTGGATCAGGGTTACATCTTGATGTCTTCTTAACCCCTTCTTTAAGATTATAGCAGTTACTTTTGTGGTTTTTCAAGTCTTAGATGTTTTTTTATTGTTTTGAGGAGTTACTTTTAGCTTCCTTTACTAACTTTTAATAAGTGGTTGGTTGGTTTGATTGTAACCTCTACATTTGTAATAAGTCTTCATATAAGCCAAGTTCTTGTATGGAAAAAAGATACACACAAAATTTTAAGAATACGAACCTTTGCTCACTTGGAATGGTTGTTACAATGCACTAATTATCTTTTTGGGATGTGTTCTTGACTTGATACGAACTCAATCAAATAGGTATTGGATTGTTTTCATCGTTATACAACTTAATAGGTCTTGAGTTTAAACTAATTTATCCATTTCTCTCCATACACACATCATTTGTGGTTATTATTCTCTCTTAATTTACGTAAACACTACCCTACTCACTAAATCAAGCCCATACACGTATCATGAGTGGTATCAAAGCGCCATATTCATATCATAAGTGGAAGCAATCATCCAAATCCCAAGTATTTTTTCATTGGAGGGAATTCGCAATGTTTGGACTTCGATTCTTGTGGTTTGCTTCAAATTGGGAAACCATGATTTTGGGGTGTATTACTCATCACTTTAGTGATATGAACCATGATCCATTCTTTCAACTTACTATGATTAACCATATAAATTATTACAAGGTTAATTTGAAGGGTCCTAATCTAGTTCATAAATAACAGTGGTTTGTGTTCTACAAATGAAAGTTTCATATCGAAGAACAGCACCATGCAGTCATTATTTAATTGAGAACAATTTCTTTCCAAGAAGGAGGGATTGATACGAGTATGGGATTGAATGATTCTAAAAATAGGGATGTGCTGACACTTGTCATGTTGGATGGTGTTGTTGCACAAAACGGGTGCAGTATGATGTGGAAAGGGACATGCCCAAGGACGGGAGAAAGTTAATGATATTAATGGTGATTTAATAATAGAGACCTTACAAGTTGGAAAATTAAAGTGGGAGTTTCATTTATGTTTATAATAAGGCTTTATGCCAAGTGATGTCATCGCTAAGTTCGATTGCATTAAGGGCTACATTTTAAGACTTCTTGAAGTGCTCAGCCGTTACTTTTGCCTTCATAACTCATCCTAAACGTTTTTGATGACCTTTGGTGGATTAGGGTTACATCTTAATGGCTTCTTAACTCCTTATTTAAGATTCAAGCAATTACTTTTGTGGTTCTTCAAGTCTTAGATGTTTTTTTACTGTTTTGAGGAGTTACTTTTAGCTTCCTTCACTAGCATCAATATTCACTTTAATAATTTGTTGGTTGGTTTGCTTGTAACCATTACATTTGTAATAAGGCTTCCTATAAGCCAAGTTCTTGCATGGAAAAAAAGATTCACACGAATTTTAAGAAAAATAACCTTTGTTCACTTGGAATTATTGTTATAATTAAGGGCAAATGTCATATTAGCCCATCAAACTCTTCGTGTTCGTTTTAAAAGGCCCCCAAACTTTTTTTGCACATTAAAGAAATATACTTTCATTTCTCTGTTTTAAAATACCCTTATGTTACCTTCTACCGGGTTGATAGGTAATATACATGCCACGAGGAGAAATGTCGGTGACACGTCATTTAATCAAATGGCCACATGTGTTGTACTTATATTAATTTGTTATAAAGTGAATCGTGTGTGTTATACAATCCCATCCCCCTCATTGAAGAAACCCCTTGTCATTAAAGAAAATCCTTGTCGTCCCACCATAGTAACTGAAGATCGATGGCTATATTCCTGTCAATCAAAGTTCATTTCCAAGGTGTGTTCATCAACAAACCTTTTTGTTATTTTGATGGTGTTCATCATGTGTTCGAGAACGTCGATTTTGCCGGTATGTCATTTAATGAGTTTGTGGGTTTTCTTGAACGATTCACACAAGAGAAGTGTGAGAAAGTTTATTATTGTCAACCCAATTTACAAATCCCAAAAGGTTTAACCTTGATTTTGAATGAATGTCAATATCAAGAATTTATAGACATTGCTTATCAATGTGGAGTACAAGTTTCTATTTACATGGACCATTTTGGTACTACTGTGCATGTAACGAAGGCAAATGAAAATGAAAATGAGGATAATTGTTCTGTCAAGTCAAACATGTCAATCGAAGGGGAAGAAGGTATTGACCTAACTGAAATTAAGAGTCCACAAGAAATCAACATGGAAGGAATAACCTATGAAGGAGTAAGTCATGGTAATGAAAATGAGGAGGCCACAGAAGGTGATCCAAAAGACGATGAAGATGATAATGTCCCAGATATGAAAGGAAAACTAATGTTTAATGAAGACATACCTTGGAAGAAGCAGTTGTCAATTCTAGGTATGAGGTTCACCGACCCTAAACAATTAAAATTTATGATTTGTAATTATGCTGTAGCAAATTGATATCAATTGTACTTTGAAAAAATCGATAGTAAAAGGTTATTGGTTAAGTGTAGTAATGGTCAATGCACATTTAGGCTTTGGGCATCATGGATGAGCGAGGAGCAGTCTTTCCAAATCAAGTCCCTTATCATTGACCATAATTGTGCAAGAAATTTTAAATTAGGGCCAATTGTTAATTACAGATGGATTGGTAGTCATTTCACTCGGGAAGTGCTTGAGAATCAGAAATTCAATGTTAGGATGTTAAAAGAGGAAGTAAAGAATAAAATTGGCATAGAGGTTAGTATGGGACAATGTAGGAGAGCTAAGCAACATGCAATGTCTCTTGTTGAAGGTACCATAATGGAAAATTATGCAAAGTTGTGGTCCTATGGTGAAGAGATAAAAAGGTCTAATCCAGGGTCAACAGTCAAGTTGTCTGTGAACTCTATGCTAGATGGGAAAACTTACTTTAGCAGGATATATATATATATATATATATATATATATATATATATATATATATATATATATATGTTTTCATGCACTAAAGAAGGGTTGGAGAAGTGGCTGTAGAGGGATAATAAACTTAGATGGGTGTTTTCTAAAAGGAATGTGTACTAATAAGTTATTATGTGTTGTTGGTAGGGATGGTAACAATCATATATACCCAATAGATTGGGCTATAGTTTGTGTTGAAAATAAAGACAACTGGAAATGGTTCTTAGAAAACTTGCAAGAAGATATGCATCTTGAAGGTGGTTTTGGTAGGACATTGATGTCAGATCAACATAAGGTATGTTTCTACTTTATAATGTCATACCTAATTTCTTTCAAATGTGATATAATTCTGAATATTATGATGATATAAATGCAGGGGATAATTGAAGTTGTGAAAGATTTATTTCTAGAGATATAACATAGGCACAGTGTCATGCATGTTCTTTCCAATTTCAAGAAGAAATTCCTTGGGTCTAAGTTTGAGAAACTATTTTAGAAGGCTTGCAAGGCCTCAACTGAACCTCTTTTCAATTCTGCAATAAAAGAGATTCAACTGATTAGCCCTGCTGCTTATGTGCATCTAATTGGAAGGAATCCAAAATCATGGTCAAGAGCATTTTTTCAATTTAGAAGGGGGTGTGATGCAGTTGAGAATGGGTTGTCTAAAAGCTTTAACAATGTTATATTGGAGACTAGGAAGAAGCCAATTATTACAATGTTGGAGGATATTAGACTATATGTGATGCAGAGGATGTGTAGTTTGAGGCAGAAAATAGAGTGGATAGGGAAATCTTGATGTATGTCCAAACACAAGTCTTGCCCTAAATGCATTAAAGATCCAACAAAGGTACTATATTATTCACCATAATTGAATTAAATATCCAGTAAAGGTACTTTAATTACCCCTGTTAACTTTGATTATTTGTAGGTACTGGCAAGTGCTTCCTAGTGGCCTGAATACATTTGAAACAAAAAACTTAGGAGAGTCTTATGGAGTTGATCTGGAAAAGAAAACATGTTCTTGTAGGATTTGGTAAATGAATGGGTATGGTTGTGTACACTCAGTGGCAACCATTAGTTATGTAAATAGAGATGTAGAGGTATTTATTGATCATCTATATCGTGCTTGCATATATATGAACACATACAAGTACACAATTGGAAGCATGAATGGGAGTGCAATGTGGCCCCCAACAGAGTACATACCACCTTTGCCACCATTGAAAAAGAAGATGTCAGGGAGACCTACTATTAAGAGAAAGAGGGACAGTACTGAGGTTACTGGATCACACAGAGTATCCAATACAGGCAAAAAGATGTTCTGTGGTGTTTGTAAGAAATCAGGCCACAATAAGTCAACCTGTGATGTAGTGTCAAAGCCCTAAAAAAGTCATGTGAAAAAGAGGAAGGCTGAAGGTGAAGGTGAATCTAGTGCATCAAAGAAAAGGAAGGGTCAAGGGCAAAATGGGAAGGGAAAGGGTGAAGGTGATGCTAGAAGTGGAATTGGTTTCAAAATGGGAGAAGGTGAATGTGAGTCAACAAGTGGTGTGACTAAGAAGAATGGTAAAAAAGTAGATACATTGAAATTAAGAAAAAATTCAGAGGGGATACTAAAGAAAAAGTTGGCAAAAAAGGTTGCAGGCAAAAACGGTGAAGGTGATACATCAACCAAACCAATGGACTTGGATTAAAGATGTTTTTGGAGTATGTTAGTTATGGATGTATGGATGTGTCACAACTAGAAATTTTGTGTCTTGTAATCACAACACTCAAGTAAAATGTTGAATCAAAAACTTAAGAGCATGTATGATGCTTACTTTATGACAACAAAAAAAAATTGCAACCAAATACACCATACAAGCATTACAAAATACTCAACAAGCAATTGGGAACCCTAGAAGTTATTGTTTAGGTCCATTTTGGTCTAGGACTTCCTTATTGGGCCCAATGGACCAATAAGCTTCCAATTTGACCATCTTGGACTTAGAACTCTTAAATGGGCTCTAATTGGACCCACTTTCATTTATTTCAACATTTTGGGCCATATTGGGCCTAGAATGAAATGAATTAAATATTATGAACTATTATGGACCATAATTAACCTAATCTAGCCTAATAAAGCATAAAAATCACACTTATATTTTATAAGGGCTAAAAATCACCCAACCTAACTATAACATGGGCTTAAGGACAAAAAGCCCAAAAATCCCCTCTCTCCCCTCTCCATTCTCGGCCCAAGCCCAACCAAAGAAAGAGAGTTGACTTTCCTATGCCACCTCATAATTGTCCATAGGATTCCCATGCACCATCTCATGTTTTCATGAAAATCAATTCAAGAACCTCACTTATCTCCTCTCTCGTCTTGCTCTCGGCCGAACACAACACACACACTCACAAAAACTCACTCCACTCTCTCTAAGTCTTGAAGAACATCTCCTCACTTCTTCTTCAAAGATTTCGAGATTCAAGAGCTTTTCAAGGAGGTTCTTCCCACAAACACATCATCTAAGGTAAGTTTATACTTAAATCTATGATCTAGGTTCCTTGATTCATCAAACATTTCTTCTTAACTCATAATAAATCATGATCTTGCATCTTAGAATTACCTCAAATTCGAGATCTTCATCAAGGTGTTGCTAGGGCCAAACATCACCTCCCTTTCTCTCTTTTTCTTCTTCAAACCGAAACTACAACTCAAGGTGAGTTTCATACCCCCTATTTTTCGGTTTTTTATAAGTTTTGTGTGTGTGGGGGGGGGGAATACAAGGAAATGTGTAGATCTATGAGTATATGTATGCTTTGTGTGATTTCTATGCTTATATATATGTTCTTATGTGATTGTGATGTTGGATCTAGCCAAAAAGAGCTTAGAAATCGAGATCTACAATGTGTTGAATGAAATAAGTATAAATTATGTTATTTTACACAAATCATTTCAAGAAAAGTAACCAAGTTGGTTAATATGAATCTCTTTGGGCTTAAAACCTATTTTTGGGCTCAAAATGCTAAAAATATAAAACTAAAGGGCCCGAAATGACAAAATACAAATTATGAGGGTTGAGATGAGTCAAAACAATTTCAAAAATGTATTTTCTGAAAATTTACTCTTTTGAAGGATTAAAATGTGAACTTTTAAACCTAATGGGCCAAAAATGAACTTTTCGGCCCAATAAAGCCCAAATTGCGAGATTTTCAAATTAGAGGGGCTGAAACTGTACTTTTCTGTAAAACAGGGGACTACTAGTGTTCCAAGTCCATTTCAAGGGTTAAAAATACTTTTCATATTTAAAAGGGACCAAAGATGCAAAAAATTTCCATCTTGAGCCAAAAGTGTAAAACTTGCGAAAATAGAGGGTTCAGCTGAGAAAACTTCATTTTGAGGGACTAAAACTGTTTTTCAAATAAATTTGAGCTGAAAAATACCTTTTCAACAAGTTTTGATACTAAAATGTCAAGAAAAATGGTTTAAGGACTAAAATAGAAATTCTTTTATTCAAAGGGTCAAAATTGTAAATTTATCCAAAAGAAAGGGGCTGCAAAAAGAAAATCCTAATGTTTAAACCAATAAATCCATTATGATAAAATACTAGTACCACGACTACCGACGAAATATAATACACCTTCAACACCAAAATCGTTATCAAACGAATTGATTCGGTCTCGAATCAACCACGAATCAAAAATTAATACACGGCGAAACTTCAATACACACGCAGAAATTCACCAGAAGTCAATACACACGTGAGAATTCACCAGACGTCGATACACCATCTTGGGGCCCGAAAGTTTCAAATCGTGCTTGTTGGGCCTAGCTAGTCCAATGACATGATCTTTAGGCCCAGAGGTAACTCGCTTACATGTCGTTGGGGTCTTATATGACCTAATTTCGTGTAAAAGGACTTTCAATGGCTTTTGTGCTGTTGGGCCCCCAAGGGTCCTTTGGTACTGCCAGCAAAGTCGAGAATTCACCAATGCGAGTCGGGCCAAGGGCCCTTCGCATTCACGATAGCCTTGAACAACCTATGGAAATATCGGGGGCTTCGCACCCTCTTTTCTCCTTGGTTGTGGGGCTATGAGAAGTCGGGGTTGTTGGATTAAGTGAATGATACGGACGACACCTAAAGGATCGTTTGTATAGTTGTAAACTAGTCGTTTTCATTAATGCATGTTTATAACGATTCACAAACCATAATTAATCCAATGACACTTGGAATTATCGAATATACACGTCGTAACGGCATAACAAAATATATAATGCGAAATTCAAAGTACTAGGAAAACATCGGGTTTTCCTAGGGTTTTCAATACATACACCTGCGAGATGCATAACAAGTCTAACAATTTTTCTTACATTTATAGAAACAAACAAGCATACTTACGGATCTTCACACTTTTTTTTACGATACTCTTTTCAGAAAATATCGGATTTTTTGGTGGTTTTCAAAACAATACAAAACATTATATTTCAAACATTACTTATGAACTCACCAACATTTCATATGTTGACGTTTTTCAAAATACTTGTATTCTCAGGTAACAGGTAAATCGAAGGGAAAAATGTACTAAGTGATGTCTTGCTGTTTGTTTATCCAGTATCGAACAATTTACTTTTTGGGAATGTAATGTTATTAAACAATGTACTAAATGTAAACACTACCAGTTGTACTATTTCAATGCATGGTGATGAATGATGTTATGTTTCATGTATATATTCACTGTGATGGTATTCAATTGAGTCACAACAGCCCTCGGACGTTTCCGCCGTCTGGTTCAGGGGTGTGATAGGATGTTTGTTTTCTGTTTGTAACATGATTATTAACGTGTCTTTAAAACACCAAGTTATGATATTAATGTATGTATGGATGTTTGTTTTCTGTTTGTAACATGAATGTTAGTTTCTTTAGTTTAAAACATAACATGATTTTTTTTTATAATTGTACTTCCAATGCAATTCCATATAACAATGGACTTGAATTATAACAATGTACTTCCACATAAGGCTATAATGGGAACTTCACATTTTGTACATTTCAAGTTTAAAACATAACATGATTTTTTTTTATAATTGTACTTCCAATGCAATTCCATATAACAATGGACTTGAATTATAACAATGTACTTCCACATAAGGCTATAATGGGAACTTCACATTTTGTACATTTCATTACAAACCATACTTCAAGGGGAAATTGAAGTCCTGCAACATACGACCTTCACATTTGGTACATTTCATTACAAACCATAACATCATATGCAAAGCAAAACAAAGGTTAAAATAGGAACTAGATTTCATTTCATTCATCCATTATAACTGAGGTTATTGTCTTAACAACCCCCCCCCCCCCCCGAAAAAAAAAAAATAAAAAATTGGGTTCTAAACACCATTACAGCCTCAATGGGCACCATTGCTCAAAACAACCAATAACACATAACCTAATACATATATACTAGAAGATGATGAAATTAGACAAAAAGACACAACCTTCGACAAACCCTGATAACCCAAAAGATACTAATCACCATCGTGCTACCTACGAACTAAACTACACCCACTAAAATCCCCATCCATTGCATTCGACGCAAACACGAACCCCAATCAACGACATCAGTGCAACTCTAACAACATCCATCATGGTCACTTTCCTTTTCAAGTTGCGTATCTCCTCCCTAAACTCGCCAAGCTGTTGATGTATCTTATCTCGCATTTCCTCAATCTGTAATTGGGTTTCCATGGCATGAATTTCGTAATCAGTTATTAAGTCTAGTTCCGAAGCTCTGAAACCACCATAGGAGAAGTTTTGTTCTGAGGCCATCTTCTTGATTTATACGTGGGAAAAAGCGAAGTCGATGATGTGAATGTTACGGATTAGGGTAACAAAGTGGTGGGGAAGATGGATTTAGGGAAGATGGTTTATAAGGGGACCATTAGCAATGACTTGGCAATTCTTGGGGACCAAGATTTCAATAGTAATATTCCACGGTGGTGTCCATGTCACGAAAACAGGGGATAAACCTTTTACAATTGGTAAAGGGATGTAATTAAATGGTAAAATGAAAAGTATATTTCTTTAATGTGCAAAAAAGAAAGTTTGGGGACCTTTTAAAACAAACACGAAAAGTTTGATGGGATAATATGACATTTGCCCTATAACTCACTATCTTGTTGGGACATGTTCTTGATTTGATACATACTCAATCCAATAGGTCTTAGATTGTTTTCACTGGTATACATCTTAATAGGTCTTGAGTTGTTACTAATTTATCCATTTCTTTCCATACACGTATCATATGTAGTTGTTATTCTCTCTCAATTTACGTAACCACTACCCTACCCACTAAATCAATCACATACATGTATCATAAGTGGTATCAAAGTGCCATATTCGTATCATAAGTGGTATCAGAGCGCCATATTCGTATCATAAGTAGAAGCAATCATCCAAATCCCAAGTATTTACATGGGAGAGAATTTGTGATGTTTGTACTTCTATTATTGTGGTTTGCTTTAAATTAGGAAACCGTGATTTTAGGGTGTATTACTCATCACCTTATTGATAGGAACCATGATCCATTCTTTCAACTAATTGTGATTAACCATCTATATTATTACAAGGTTAATTTGCAGACTCCTAATCTAGGTCATAAATGAAGGTGGGTTGTGTTCCAAAAATGGAAGGTTCGTATCGAAGAACAACACCACGAAGTCCTTATTGGATTGAGGACAATTCCTTTCCAAGAAAGTAGGAATGACCCGAGTATCTGAGTGAAAGATTCTAAAAATGGGGATGTGCTGACACTTGTCACGTTTGATGGTAACGTGGGACAATATGGGTGCAATATGACATGGAAAGGGATGTGTCTAAGGATGTGAGAAGGTTAATGATATTAATGGTGAGTTAAGAATATAGACGTTACAAGTTGGAAAATCAAAGTGTGAGTTTCATTTCAGTTTTTAATAAAGCTTTATGCCAAGTGATGTCATGGATAAATTCGCTTGCATCGTAAATTGGATGAATTAAGGGCTACATTTTAAGACTTATTAAATTGCTTAACTGCTACTTTTTGGCTTCATAACTCATCCTAAGCGTTTTTTGTGACCTTTGGGTGATTAGGGTTACATCTTGATGGCTTCTTAGCTCCTTCTTTAAGATTACAGCGGTTACTTTTGTGGTTCTTCATGTATTAGATGTTTTTTTTTTATTGTTTTGAGGATTTTCTTTTAGCTTCCTTTACTAGCTTTAATATTAACTTTAATAAGTGGTTGATTGGTTTGCTTGTAACCACTATATTTGTAATTAGGCTTCGTATACGCCAAGTTCTTACATGTAAAAAAGATACACAATAATTTTTAAGAAAAAGAACCTTTATTCACTTGGAATTATTGTTATAATTCACTAATTATCTTATTGGGACGTGTTCTTGACTTGATACGAACACAATCCAATAGATATTGCATTGTTTTCACCGATATACAACTTAATAGGTCTTGAGTTGTTACTAATTTATCCATTTCTTTCCATACACGTATCATTTGTGGTTGTTATGCTCCTTCAATTAACCTAAACACTACCCTACTCACTAAATCATGCCTATAAATGTATCATAAATTGTATCAATGCGCCATATTCGTATCATAAGTGGTATCAGAGCGTTATATTTGTATCATAAAAAGAAGCAATCATCCAAATCCTGGGTATTTACATGGGAGGGAATTCGTGATGTTTGGACTTCTATTCTTGTGGTTTACTTTAAATTGTGAAACCATGGTTTTGGGGTGTATTACTCCTCACTTTATTGATATGAACCATGATCCATTCTTTCAACTAACTGCGATTAACCATCTATATTATTACAAGGTTAATTTGTAGGGTCCTAATCTGGTTCGTAAATGAAGGTGGTTTGTGTTCTAAAAATGGATGGTTCGTATCGAAGAACAACACCACGAAGTCGTTGTTTAATTGAGGACAATTACTTTCCCAGAAGGAAGTAATGATACGAGTATGGGAGTGAAAGATTCTAAAAATAGAGATGTGCTGACACTTATCACGTTGGGTGGTGATGTGACACAAAATGGGTGCAATATGACATGGAAAGGGACGTGGTATAGGACGGGAGAATGTTAATGATATTAATGGTGAGTTAAGAATAGTGACGTTACAAGTTGGAATTTTAAAGTGGGAGTTTTATTTCAGTTTTTAATAAGGCTTTATGCCAAGTTATGTCATGGCTAAATTAGCTTGCACGGTGACTGTTACAACCGTCAAAATTCGAGATAGTGTTAGGTAAACTTAGTTGCACGCATAGGCACGAAAAATACTAGACTTAGTAACTAGAAACTAAGTTATAACCTACTAGATACTTGGAAACAATTAGAAACAATGAATAGTGTACTTAAATTTCACATTTATACGTGACTTCTATAGTTTCTTTAACTGTAACAACTATTCAAATTCGGGTCATTCCTTGACTTGAACACCTTTTCATGAATCATATACACACTTCATGCACTTGACCTAGAAGTAGAAATTAGGTTAGAGTCTCATAGAAACTTAAGTCAAAGTTGAAAATAGGATTAGTATACCTGAGTCCTCAATTTCACTTGAATCTCGAAACCACTACATAGAAATGCCAATAAACCGATAAAAATAAATTACAAACATTATTTCTAACTTGAATAAAAGTTATGAAACTCTAAAATAGTTTGAAGTCTCAAATTTTATATAATTTTGATATCCAAAGATTTATTAAATCTCAAGACACTAAAAACCCTAATACCTCAAATTTATAAACTTTGACAAAAATCAAGATTTTATGAGTAAAATCTATATTAAGATGCATATTTTATAAAAAAATGATATTTTTATAAAGAATTTGAAATTTATAAAAATGGAAGAGAGGGAAACCCTCTCTTTCCTCCTTCATAATTTCGTTCTCCTTTCCCCAATACCATTCTTCCCCAAAACCATAATCATTTTCACTCTTTCACACACTCCACCTTCCACTTTTCTCTCTAAAATTTTCTCTCTATCTTCACCAACATCAATTCTATCTTCTACTACATCTAAGCCACGAAAATTACAGCCAATAACACCCATTAAACATAAAAATCTTCCCCATTTGGTAGTGTTCATTAAGGTGAACATAAAAGTCCTTCATTCCCCTTCACCTTTCTTGAAAGTTTTCACAAATTTTCTTGCATTTTTTTCTTCTACACCTTTTTGATGATTTTTCATGTGCATGTTCATGCACTTCAGGTTTGATGATGATGTTGGTAGGATTTCATCCAAAAACATCATGCATGTTGTTTGATGGTGAAATCCAAGGACCAAAATCTATGTCAAACCCTAAAATATGGATTTTTTACAAGTTTTAAATGTTTATCCACCACATGCATCCTAAGTTTTCTTTCAAAAATGACTTTTGAACATTTCAAATTCATGAATGGTCTTCAAACCAACATGCATGTGATGATCTTCAAGCTTAGATGCTAGATGATCAAAGTTTGTTGTTAAAAACTTTCAAATATGTTCATAAAGGATTTATTCCCAAATAAATATCTAAAACTTATTTTCTATTCAAATACGATTTTTCCCATAATCGAAACAACAAATTAAGATGTTTTGTAAAATTTCAGAAAATAATTATTTTTTCTCGAATTATTATAATTATTGCAAGAAAATAGAGCAATAATTCATATAAAATACTTTCCGAGGTTCATAAATCCTGGATAAATTCGTGGATGACCCTTATAGTTAGTAAACATCTCTCATGAAGTTTCATCAATTTTTGTTACTGTTTTCTATGATTTTTAATTTTCTTTATGATTAACTCAAATAAATCATAAACCAAGTTCCGAGATATTAAAAGACCATTTAATATTTTTTTCTCTTCTTCTAGGTCATATTTCATGCACATAAAACTATTTTGGGGATTTTGAATAATGTATTTATATTTTTCCATGACTTTTGTGTTTACAATGGACTAAAATCGGAAAAAATAGTTTTACCCATCAAAAAATCATGAAAATTTACCAGAAAATTTTATATTACCTTAGGATGTTATATAAAAAGTTGTATGATTTTTCTCTTTTGTATGTTATTTTTGTTCTATTTTCATAAGATTAGACATTCATAAATCCAAAAATCGGACTCCACTATTTACAAATGACTCTTGTTTTCCCATATTATATACAACATCAAATAGTTTTACAAAAATTTTCAGGAATTATCCTAACTGTTTACTATTTATTTTATTTTTTATTTATTAAATACACATAAATTATGAATATCAGACTCCTATATATGAAAATCACCTTTGAAAATTTTCCTATATTATATATGTTTAATAAAAGTGTAACACCAAGTTTGGGAAATTTTACATATTGTTTTCGAATTATCTTCATTTTTGCTAAAATAAACACATAAAAATAATAAAATCAAGTTACGCTATTTGAAAACCAATTTTGGTATTTTTTTCCAGATTATATACACTGTATATGAAGTTTACAAACATTTTGGTAATTTTCCTTAACTGTTTAATAATTATTCACGAATTAATGCTTATTTAAGTGAATAAAATAAAGAAAATATCTATACTGTTTAGAAACCAACTTTTATATTTTTTTCAACTTTTATATATGTAACAACACTAGTACAAAAAGTGTAGGGAATTTTTGAAACTATTTTCTATTCATCTCTATTTTAATAGAATAAATACACAAAAATCTGAAAAGTCATGTTGAGCTATTTAAAAATAAATTTTTATATTTTTCCTAGATTATATATATTGCATATCAGTGATGTACAAAGTTTGGAGAATTTTCTCAATTGATTGCTATTTTTCATGATTTTTTTTTATCTATTTAGAGAATTAAATATAAGAAAAATGGTTATACATATCTATAATCCATGAAAATGTATCTGGAAGTCTTTTAATATAGTTTTAACCAAAATCATAAGTTTGGTTATTTTTTATTAATTGTTTAGTATTTTTCATGATTTTATGATTATTCAAGAAATTAAAATGATGAAAAATAGCTAGACAAGTAAAAAATGCAAGAAAACTTATCTTAAGGTCTTTGACTTCAATTAAAACTAAAATGCAAAGTTTGGGAAATTTTGGAACTAAATTGACTTAATTTTAAAATATTTAATCATTGAAACACCTCATAAAATAAATGTTATATTTTAACATTTCAATAATGGGAAATTCCACTTGAATTTGTTTTACAACAAATTGATTCATAAAAATCTAAATTTCACAGAAAAATGTTTGTAACTTAACAATATTAAATTTAGAGACAATATTAATAAAATTCTATTATAGTAGTAAGTATATTAATGTTAGATTTCGTGTATACCATTATTGTAAGAATGGTTAGTGGTACAAGTGGAACATAAATCAATGAAACATTTGCATCATCTCAATGCATGCATTGTGAATATTCACAATTCCTTTTTTTTTTTCGATTTTTATGTTTTGTGGTGGAAAAGCATATCCGAAAAACTATTTATTGTTCTTTGTATTTAAAAATTGATTTGTATCAAACATGATTACTAAATTCACAATATTAACATTATTGATGATTTTGTGACTAAAACTTCATTTGAAAATGAGTTTTTTTTTTCTAGTAGCGTGCATAATCATCATCATGCAAACCTTGAAAACAAACATATTTTTTATTATTGTAGTTTAATCAACCTCTTCTACCGAGATGAGTATTAATATAAACCTCAGACTTCCTTTCTTCTTATCATAACACCTCCTAAGGATTTGCAAAGACTTTTTTGCTGATATGCTTTCAAGAGACTCTCACGTGTGCATCCACATGCGAATCACGTGCTAATTCCTAAATGTTCGAAGCGTAGTAGTTTTGATCATTAGATTTGAAAATCTCTTGTCATCTCACACAACTTTACCTTCTTCCTCTCTCCTTTTTCTTTTCTCTTTCACACACTTAACACCAAAAACACACAGATACCAACTTCCTTTTTTGAACAAAAACCATTCACTAGGGTTTTCATTAATCCCTTTTTCATAGCCAAACCCCACTAAAATCTATCTTCCTTTCTTCTTGCCTAATAATTACAACGCTCCCAATCATATATGCTCTTGTGGGCTCTCTGGAGTGGAAATTAGAAGTCATCCTTGTGTGTTCTCTGCCTTTTTCCGATGCAGTTGTTGTGATGACTCATCTCCTTCAACGAATTTTTTGTGATGGCGGGGCATCTTTTTTCGATAATCGTACTAATTCTGTTTGTCCTCTTCGTAACAAAATCGACCTCGATCAGTGGGGTATCGGATTGGGATGATGACGGTGTTTATGATAACGACGGGTTTGGAAGACTGTTTCGTCAAGACTACTCGCCGCCCGCGCCGCCGCCACCGCCGCCGCATCCGCCGTCGGCATCTTGTGAGGATGACCTTGGTGGGGTCGGTTCCTTGGATACTACTTGTAAGGTCGTTTCTAATTTGAATTTAAGCCGTAACATATATGTAGCTGGGAAGGGAAATTTTTATATACTTCCCAATGTGACTGTGAATTGTTCGGTTCTTCCTGGGTGTGAAATCGGCATAAATGTCACGGGTAACTTTACATTAGGTGAAAATGCCCAAATACTGGTTGGGTCGTTTGAATTAGACGCTATGCATGCGGTTTTTGCGAATGGGTCTCTTGTTAATACCACTGCTTTGGGGGGTGATCCGCCTGAGCAGACTAGTGGTACCCCTCAAGGTGTTGACGGAGCTGGTGGAGGGCATGGCGGAAGAGGGGCTGCATGTTTGGTTGATGAGAAGAAGCTTCCGGATGATGTTTGGGGTGGTGATGCTTATGCATGGTCGAGCCTAGCAAAGCCATTGAACTATGGAAGCAAAGGTGGGACTACAAGTAAGGAGATAGATTATGGAGGAGGTGGCGGTGGGAAGATAATGGTTGTGGTCAAGGGTAATATCGAGATGGATGGTACTTTATTGGCTGAAGGTGGAGATGGTAGTCCTAGAGGTGGAGGTGGTTCCGGTGGCAGCATCTACATCAAGGCTTATAAGATGTAATCTCTTTTTCCTTTTTTAGAGTATTATACCTTTACCTTATCTAGATTCTAGATTGCATACATGACAAGTGATCTGATGTATTATTTTCCATCATAGCATTCTTGAACAGGGCAGGAGGGCGTTCTGTTTTTGCTAGTTTTTAACACCTGTTGGATTCTTTGATCTTTGTTTCATGATAAATAAATGGTATTTTTGAAATTCCCTAGAATACTAAACCGCTAACCTAACCCTCTTTATTTGTGAACATGGCTTCATTCATTGTCAATATAATATGGTTGTTTATGAATTGGCAAATTTGCATTGAAGTCCTTGCTCATATGGTTGTGCCAATTATATGAACTTAGAAAAGTAATCTGATACATTAAACAGCAAAAAGTTGGTAATGTTCTTTGAATCCTTTTGATGCCACCAACTTACTCGTTCTGATTAGTTTCTTTCTGCCTAAAATGATAAGAGCTGTTATCTACAGCAACTCACTACCTCCATTCTACTTGATAATCTAATATCTTGTATATATGTCTGATGATTTTTTTGAAAACTATGGCTACAATTCTTAATTATGTGTAAAACTATATGTGGGGTTGGGTTGGTTTTGCATTTATGCTCGAATGCCTGTAATCATCAATTGCAATAAAGGAAGTAATCTTGATGATATTAGAAGGTTTGGTAAATGGTAATGCAAGCTATGATGCTTCAACTTCCAAAACAACTTTTGTAAGTGGTGGGTAAAGATGGTAAATAAGAAGGAAAGATTACTCATTTATTTAAAAGATTGGTGTTTGATGGTTCTTGAGTTTCCAATCATATGTAGATTAAACATTCACATAGGATTGTGGCTTGATATGTGAGTGATTGTTGTACAAAGGAAGGATAAACACATGTGGAATCTCTGTATGATGGAAAGGAAACCTTAGTTTCATGTGTGGGGATATGGCCTTGTGTTTGATGAGCATGTTTTTACACGTTGCTTGTACAAATAATCATGTGTAAAACACAACTTAGTGCTGATTTCTTTTGACTTAATAAACTTAGGGGACAATATTTACTCTGCTAGGGCTAGGCTATTATATATGGGTGTTTCTCTTTGACCTAATGCAGAAAGAACGGTTTAACAGAGAACGTCTAGGAAAAGAGGGCTCTAGGATTGAATGAATAATCTGAATGACCATTAACATTTTACTGGCATGTTGAAGGTGGCGATTAGTTTTAAAATGCATCGCTTTGACCTTTGATTCTGAAAGTTGGTGTAAAAAATAGTGTTTACAGTCTGACTTAAACTGAAGTTGTTGTTTTGAAGTGCAGGACTGGAAATGGCAAAATGAGTGCTTGTGGAGGTAGTGGTTTTGGTGGTGGGGGTGGAGGAAGAGTGGCTACTGATGTGTTTAGCAGGCATGAAGACCCTAAAATCATTGTCCATGGTAGGAATGTCTTAACTATTCATATGTTATTATCTTTCTTTATTTCATGGGTCATCCCAGAACCCCTCATTTGTGTTATAAAACCATATGGTCATCCCAGAACCCCTCATTTGTGTTATAAAACCATATGATCAATTATTATTATTATTATTATTATTATTATTATTATTATTATTATTATTTATTTATTTATTTTTTTTAAATTTTTTTTTGTGTGCAGGTGGAAGTAGTATTGGCTGTCCAACAAATGCGGGTGCTGCAGGAACTTTTTATGACGCTGTGCCCCGAAGCCTTATAGTTGATAACTTAAACATGACAACTGACACAGACACACTATTAATGGAGTTTCCATATCAGCCTCTTTTGACTAGTATTTTCATTCGAAATTTTGCAAAGGCTGCAGTCCCCTTACTTTGGAGTCGTGTTCAGGTCAGTCAAAAATAACTTATATATATATATATTATGTTTGCATAATATCTGTATGTTTTTTTTGCCTTTTCTCTTTTACATTCAGTTTAGCATTATATGATTTTTATCATACCTGTTTTGTTTCTGGAAGAACATTGTGTTAGTGCACCCATGTATGATACTAGCTTGCAGTTGGTGGTGTTGCTACACTATGACTATCCTCTTGCATCTAATGTTAAAAGAATTTGGATGATGAGCGTGTTTTGCTTTTTGTTACTCAACACATGTGATGGTCTTTTAAGTTTCATTATGCATTCATTGGACTGGCCACTGGGACGAGACGAGTGTCAATAGGACATAAGTTATAATTAATTTATGTCCCACCCAAAAAGATGGAACGAGATTCACTCTCGATCTCGGCCGTGCAAATGCCCCTCCTTATAAAAAAACAGTAACAGTCCTGTGTAACAAACTCATACATTTCATGAGTTTGTGTGTATATAAGTATAAGCTGTAGTAAATGAAGAAAGTGACTACCGGGTAGGTTTGTTTATTGTAATTCTTTTTAGTTCATATCATGAGGAAGCTTCAAATGATGATTAACTTACCCGAAAAGATGGCAATGAAGTGCTTCCTTGTATAACTTGTACCCTAGATCCACATCCAGTCATCCACTAATAGTTCTCATTGTGTTTGAATAAAGTAAAATGATAAAGTACTATCTCTGTTGTTTTTCTCTTCAACTTTTAACCATGGATGGCCAAATCTTACTGCAGTACATCCTATAACACAGGAATATGGGTGTAACTTGTATTTTCTGCTTTTTGACTTGTTCTATTAAGGACAGAGTACAGAAAAACACTTGTACTTTCACCATGATTTGGCCACTTAATGATTTTCTGTAGTGATTATACAATTATAGAGCTTTTACCATTAAAAAACAATTATTCCCTCGTACTTTTCTTAATCAGTTTAGCCGTTGAACTCTATACACACACACACACACACACATATATATATATATATATGTATATCAATTTAGCCGCTTAGCTATTTACACGACTAATAGTTCAGTGGCTAAATTGATAAAACAGTGAAATTACATTGTGCATTTTAATATTTGAACCTGTTTTTAAAGCTGGGTAACTGAGAAAAATGATTATTTTAAACTTTCAAAGAAAGTAGAATGGTATAAATTATCATAAGAAAAAAAATAAGTGCCTGAATCAATAAAATGATGAAAGTACATTGTGTTTTTCTAAATTTTTCCTTGTGTTAAATGATAGCCTTTTATGAGGGGATAAAGTTAAAGCTTGCTATTTTCATTGAATAGGAGTTCTTTTTCTTTTTCGATATTTGCAGTTGCACAAGTTTAGTATGTTGGGTTGGGTGTCTAGAAATGATGGTTAGGAAAGGTTGAGTATTGTTGCAAATGGAAATAATGGAAGTATTATGGGTTGGGTTTCTTATGATGTGGAGTGGTTGATTTAGGTGCAAGGGCAAATAAGTCTTTTGGATGGAGGCATCTTGAGCTTTGGGTTGGCACATTATGCTTTATCGGAATTTGAAGTATTGGCAGAAGAGCTGCTGATGAGTAACTCTATAATCAAGGCAAGCAAACCACTTACGTTATCCAACTTCATTATTTAAATTACAGTGTTTGGTATTGATGTCAATGTACAAGTTAAGTGTTTTTCTGTATTCTCGCATTTGTGCAATATCCCTCCAAAGCTTGTTCCTATCCCTTGTAACTTAGAGGATATTATTTTATTGCTTAATGAGTTTTGCTTTGATATTTTCAGGTTTATGGGGCTTTGCGTATGTCTGTAAAGATGTTTTTGATGTGGAATTCGCAATTGCTTGTTGATGGTGAAGGTGATAGGAATGTCGGGACTTCTGTTCTTGAGGCTAGCAATCTTATTGTTCTCAAGGTACTATCACAAACTATGCTTCATACTTACTTATTTTTTGGTGATGGATATTATTAGAATGAAAGAGAGGTTTTTGTTTTGTCTGATCTCGACCAATGTGATTGATTCTTTCCATTTTGTTAATTTCGTTTCCAGATGGCGATACAACCCAACTTTATTTTTGTAATTTATTTTGTTAATAATACAAATTTATTTCCTAAAAGTGTATTGAAAAATATCTTTTAATGATGTTTGATTTTAATATTTGTAAATAAGTTGATTGATTATAATTAAAATTTTTTAATGTATAAAGTAAGATTTACAAAAAATTCATTCCGGCCAACCCAAACATGATTACAGAATGTAGTGAATGATTCATTCCAGTAATCATATTCATATTCATATGTCATCCAACCAAACAGAAACAGCACAGCCACTGCCCTAGTTGCTCTGCTTGCTTGCTATTTTTTATAGTATGAATGGCATTTGTTTTGATCACATATTTATTTCTTAGGAATCTTCTACAATACATTCTAATGCGAATCTTGAGGTTCGTGGCCAAGGATTACTAAACTTGTCAGGGCCAGGTGATTGTATTGAAGCACAAAGACTGGCTCTTTCACTGTTTTATGGGGTCAATGTAAGCATCTATATCTTTCTATTTTTTATTTTTTTGATTTAGTAATGTTACTTATATAATATTGACATGACCATTGACCTTGAACACTTTTGTCTTATTTGATATGGATTGTGACTTATCCACACACACTTCATATGTTGTCCTTGTTTTATATAGCATGTAAGTCCTTTCTGTTAGGATTTTGTTTTTATGGTCTTGGTAGAAACTACAAACTTGAGATTCTTGTTGAAATTAACAATGTATGCTACCATCTAGCCAAGATTTCCTAGCAGAAACTAAGGTGCTATTTTTATTTTTTATAATTTAGTGGAGACATTTACTTGATTCAGTAAGCAGAATATGATTATTTTTTTTACTTAATGCAGAAACGACTTAATACATAAAGTAAACGGAAGGAGGGTCTCCCCATTAAATCCTATTTTAAAATAACCCCTCCTTACATTTCCACTACTTTCCTAGCAGAAACTATTCTTATATGCACAGTGGTATTTACATATTTTTATCATTATCTATTTACGTCTTGTATATATATTTTTAAAGTTACATATTATATATCAGATGATTTATCTTTATTTAAGTAATAAATTTATAATTTTATATACATCAATCAAATGTGTAATAAATTCATATATATTATATATATAAATAACTTTTTGTTTAAATCTATTTGTTTTTGTCGTTTACAATTTGAATTAAGAACAATTATTAAACAGACAATCATTTCCATTCAGCAAAAGTTCCAAACAGAAGGTCCTGAAATGAAAGTTTGGAAAATGGCATGCAACGATAGCAAAACTTAAATGAGTTGAAGTTTTTATGCATGCAATTAATTAATGATAAGACAATTTAGTTGGTCTTACTTACAGGTGCAGCCTCTTCTAATTTGCATCATCTGTCATTTTTTGTTATCATGACATACATCAATCAGTATCAGCTAAATATCACCCTCCATTCCATTTGGCTGATCCTTATTTATTTATATATATATGTTTGAAGGTGGGTCCAGGAGCTGTTCTGCGTGGTCCGTTAGAAAATGCTACGACTGATGCTGTGTGAGTTGATTATTGCAATCTATGTTTGCCATTCTTGGTTTGCTACTGAATACTTACTAACCAGTATTCAATAAAAATAATGTGGCCTGGCCTTAGGACGCCCAAATTGAATTGTGATTCTCAGCAATGTCCAGAAGAACTGCTTCGCCCGCCTGATGACTGCAATGTCAATGCTTCACTCTCCTTCACTCTTCAGGTGAGGTGATGTGATGTGATGTGATTCTACAATTGTAACAATTGAAAAATTGCAATCAACCAAACTTCTAGTTCTAGAGAGACTTTTTGAGATTTGTTAATAATTATTATATTTGTTGTTCCCTTTTTAGATATGTCGTGTTGAAGATATCCTGATTGAAGGACTTGTAAAAGGGTCCGTCGTGCATTTTCACCGGGCAAGGACTGTAACTATTCCGTCTACTGGTACAGTCAGCACATCTAAGATGGGTATGTATGCTGATAGACTCTTGAATATAGGTAGTATAATGGTAACGGATTTGAGGAACTGAAAAATGATATTTAAGAATTACTTCACTTGAGTTGAGAAAATGGGTTAGGAGGACTTAATCTGTTAAGTCACACTCAAAAGGAAATACTTGTAAAATTAATTGTATTTTTAATTTGATGATTGGGTGGGTGATAACACAGGTTGCACGGGAGGTGTTGGCAGGGGTCGGATATTAGGCAATGGCATTGGCAGTGGGGGAGGTTATGGTGGCACAGGTGGATATGCTTATTATAATGGGACCCGCATTGAAGGTGGTCTTCCATACGGCGATGCTGACTTTCCTTGTCATCTTGGTAGCGGAGGTGGAAATGATACTATTGCTTATTACCCAACAACAACGCCTACGCCTGGTGGTGGTGTTTTAGGTTTGAATCAAACTTAATATTCCCTTAATACCCTGATAATAAATATAAATAAGGGGGTTTGGGCATTTGATTGTTTATGCAGTAATTGGTTCATTAGAGCATCCTATATCAAGTCTGTGTGTGGATGGATCACTTACTGCGGATGGGGGAAGTTATGGAGAAAAAAGCGTGAGAAATGTGTATGATGATATATACAAATCCGGTGGTGGCTCTGGTGGCACAATTCTTTTGTTCTTAAATGATCTGTTTGTTGGTGAATCCGGTTCTCTTTCAAGTGCTGGAGGTTATGGTAATCCAAATGGGAGTGGTGGTGGGGCCGGTGGGAGAATCCATTTCCATTGGTCACACATTCCAACCGGAGATGTATATCAACCAATTGCTACTGTCAAAGGGAATATCTCAACTCGGTTCGTTCTTTCAAATTCAATTCTTCATCTGACCTTACCTTAATAAACTTTTATCTCATACAGGTTTCAATGAAAAATAGCTATCTACTTTCATACATATTGTGATTTATAGCGCACTTATTAAGGCATTATAAAATAATAGCAGCTTACTTCAGTTGACAAATCATTGCTATAATTGGGTATATTTTTCAAAGTACATTGCTGATGTAATAGAAAGAAACGAATTTCACAAACTGATCAACTTTATTCTACTCTTAAAACATTTGTGCTACATCCATTTTGATCTGTTTGTTGTTTGTTGTAGGGGAGGGCTGGGTGGAAATGATGGTGGTGCTGGACAAAATGGAACTGTCACTGGAAAATCGTGTCCAAAAGGGCTTTATGGGACATTGTGCGAGGTATATAATATATTGGCCCTTCACCAATTTTTTTTTTTTTAGTATTTCGATTTTGTTAGTTATCACTTAGCATTGGCATGTATGGTCTTCATATTATTATTATTATTTTTTTTCCGTGTATCTATATAGGAATGTCCTGTTGGTACCTACAAAAATGTTACAGGATCCGACAGGTCCCTATGTTTCAAGTGCCCACCCGATGAACTTCCTCACCGTGCTCTTTATGTTGCTGTCAGAGGTATTCAATTACGACTCAAATTCATCTCTCTCTCTCTCTCTCTCACACACACACACACTTACACTCTCTTTCACCTTTTAACTTGCACATTCCTCAAGAATGGTACTAAAGTAGACATTTGTCTCTTCCACTGAAATCTAAGGTTGTGTTTGGTTGTGGACAACTGTTTTTAGTTTTCTAGAAAAAGGAATCGAGTTTTTATTTTCCGTTTTCGAAATTTAGAAACGTGTTTGGTTGTATATTTTCTATCAGATTTCATTTTCCAGTTTTTGTTATTTTAAATAGGGTTTATATTGTTTTTGAAAAGAAAGTATTAAAATGTCTGTAAGTTGTTTTAAATAGGCCAGGTGAGGGTGGGGTATTGGTTAGTTAGTTATGTGGGTGGCTAAGGTGGGTAGGGTATGGGTGGCGGTGGGGTGTAGGGGTAAGTATGGGTCGGTGTGTGTTGTTGGTATGGTTAGGGGTGTGGGTCTCAGGTGGAATGTGGGTGTGGGTGGGAGTGATGGGGATGGATGGTGTGTGTGTGTACGTATGGTGGGGTATGGGTGACGGTGGTAGCAGAGGTGAGGGTGGCGGCAACGATGGTGGTGATGGGGTAGGGGCGGAGTGGTGGATGTGGTGGCGGTAGCGATAGCCGTGGTGGTGGTGGTGGCACTGGTGGTAGTGGTGGGTGGGTGAGGGTGTTGGAGCTTAGGAGAGGGTGGGAGGGGTGGTGTGAGGGTGGCTTGTGTATATATTTTAGAAAATTTTTGGAATTAAAAAATGTGGAAAACTCTTGGAAAACTTTTGTGGGATACTACAGGATATTCCACAACCAAATGCAACCCAAGGGTCTGTTTTATTGGACGGATTTGAATGTTAAAGTAATTGAACTTTTAAAGGTAATGGCAATGGAATGAGTCGTGTTTGGTAGCTTGTAGTTGTAGGAATGAGATGAACTTTTATATTTTGTTTACGCACAATGTATAGTTTTAACTCTACTTTTTACATTATTGAGTTATAATTACTAATTTGTGATTTACAAAATAAAAATCAAACACAATCAAAGCTAAAATAAAGAATATATTTTTAGTTTTGATAAAAAATAATTGTAGTTAATTTAAAATCATGGATTTTATTTTTCAAATTGTGTAATTTTTTATTCAATTCAATGATGGAATGAAAAAGAACACCTGAAAATTAAGAAGATGGAAGCAATCATATATGATTTGCATCATATGAAGCAGTAGCCAAGGCAAATTTGCTTCTTGAAGGACAGTAGACTAGAGAAGTTTGATATGTATATATATATATATATATATATATATATATATATATATATATATATATATATATATATATATTTGTTTGTTTGTTTTTGATGACAGGGGGTATTGCTGAAACACCATGTCCTTACAGATGCGTTTCAGACAGATATCATATGCCAAATTGTTATACGGCTCTGGAAGAGCTGATTTACACATTTGGGGGGCCATGGTTGTTCGGTCTACTTCTATTGGGTCTTCTTATCCTTTTGGCCCTTGTGCTTAGTGTTGCAAGGATCAAATTCGTAGGCTTTGACAATGACAACTCACCTGGCCCTGCTCCTACACAAATGGATCACTCTTTTCCTTTCCTTGAATCACTCAATGAGGTTTTTTTTTTTTTTTTTTTTTTAAAATTTTTTTTTTAAAAATTTTTTTAATCCATTTTGCACAGATCAGATAAAAGATCCCTGACATGACATCAATGCATGCCAAATGAATGCAGTCTGGCCTGTTTTAATTTTCTATTATTTAGCTTTTAACATTTTTATGGATCTTTCAGGTTCTGGAAACTAACAGAGTGGAGGAGTCACAAGGACATGTTTATCGAATGTACTTTATGGGTCTGAATACTTTTAGCGACCCTTGGCATCTTCCTCATACACCTCCAGAGCAAGTCAAAGATATTGTGTAAGTGTAACTTCCTTTCCCTTTTATTTCTCTGTTAAGATGTTGGTTGAGTAGCAAGCAATATCTCTGCGATTGGTTTGTTTTGAATGATACAAAATACCGTTTTATCATGATATTCTACTTTTTCATTCATTTTCTTGTCAAAGCATTAGCATTTCGCTGTTCTTTCTACCCAAGTTTATGTTTATCCATGCATTTGATTTGAAAAATCTATCCAATTATAGGCAGTGCAATCAAAACATGTTGGCATTGGCGATGGATGATTTTCTTTATTAAATTGAACGTGCAGGTACGAGGGGGCATTTAATAGATTTGTGGATGAGATTAACAGCTTAGCGACTTATCAGTGGTGGGAGGGATCAATGTATAGCATTCTTGTTTTTGTTGCTTATCCTCTTGCATGGTCATGGCAACAATGGAGGCGCAAGATGAACTTACAAAGACTCAGGGAATTTGTTAGATCCGAGTATGACCATGCCTGCTTACGTTCTTGTCGCTCACGTGCTCTCTATGAAGGCCTTAAGGTTGCTCCTTTATATTGCATCAAATTCAATTGTTTGTTGGTTGGATAAATGATGTTTGTTTATGGCTAAGAAATGGAAGAAAAAAGTAAATTTGCATAAACTTCCGTAACTTAATGTCAAAATGATACATCTTAGGGTTTGTTTGGCTTACACATTTTTTTGAAAGGAATTTATTTTGAACTTGTGAAAGGAGTTGGAATCTGTAGTGCCTTTGGCTGGCAGGATATAATCACAATCAACTTATAATCAGAATCAAACTTATCGATAGGTAAATAAAATTATTATTATTATTATTATTATTATTATTATTATTATATTATTATTATTATTATTAGAAGAGTTTAATAAGATACAAAAATTCTTTTACATCAAATGTTAAATCACTTTATACTCATTTGCAACCAAACACAATGAAATCGAACGAACTTCAGTCCGGCCAAATCCCATGAAATCCAGCTTTCATTTAAGCATTTGATTCTTAGGCCATGATGCTGCAAATAATACTCCCTGGTTACATTGTCATCTTCAGTTGTTGATAACATATGTAGTTTAAAACATCTGTAATCTTATTTGGTAGATGAATGGTGGTTTTGAGGTGTTTTCTTTGTATGTAATTGTAATGTGTAGGTAGCAGCGACATCTGATCTAATGCTAGCTTATGTGGACTTTTTCCTTGGTGGCGATGAAAAGAGAAGCGATCTCCCTCCTCGCCTTCACCAAAGATTCCCGTTATCACTATTGTTTGGTGGTGATGGAAGTTACATGTCGCCTTTCTCACTTCAAAGTGATAATATCATTACTACCCTCATGAATCAGGTTTCCTCCCCTCACCAACATTACATATATAATTTGTGGCGTTTGTCAATTGTTATAGAATTTTATTATTTTATTATTTTTTAAGAAGCTTAAAAAATGTGAGGTGACATATGAGTATGGTTGGGTCTTTTCCTTTCCAGGCGGTTCCTCCTACGACATGGTATCGGTTTGTGGCGGGGTTAAATGCACAGTTACGGTTAGTTAGTCGGGGTCGGGTGAAGGCAATGTTTGGGTCAGTAGTGACATGGCTTGAAAATTATGCGAATCCTACTTTGAAGGTATATGGGATACGTGTCAATCTTGCTTTTTTCCCAGCTACAACGGGTGACTATCATCAATATGGACTTATTGTATCAGCTGTTGATGATCTACCACAACCACAACCCGACTTTATTTCCTCCAACTTGGAGGAGGATACCAACACAAGGACAAGGTAACGTTTATTACTTATCAACCTTAATTAATGCTCATTGCGTGTAAAGTAAAACGAATGAAACTGTCATTCATTAAGGCACCGTTTGTTAAGATGTCAATGGGACAAAAATTGCCAAAAACGTGGGAGTGGGATGAGAGAGAATTGTCCCTTCTGAC